TCCCAGCACCTGACCAGCCGTGCTTTGGCAGGCTGTGCAGCCCGACGCCTGCGAGACAGCTTTCGATGCCGCGTCCACCATTCGAGGGGAGCTGTTCTTCTTCCCCCCCCCGCTGCTGGCAGGGGATCCCCAGCTCTGTTGATGCCACCTTCGAGGACCCTCTGGGCAACATCTGGTTTTTCCAAGGTAAGAGCTGGATTGGGATCAGACTGCTTGGAAATGCATCTCCTTTACTGAGGAGTATTCAGGACCCAACAAGTTCCTGGGAGGATAAATCTTCTGGGCATCCTCAGCAATCCTTGTTATTTGTTTCCTTCTCTGTTTAAACTTTTTAAGTGGATATTGAGGGGGGTAGAGAGAAGGAGGGGTCACTTTTATGTTAGACACAGCCAAGATATCCTGTTCTCCTCTGGAACACAAACATTTGTTTTGAGCCTCTGTCCTGGCAATGCTGCTGGCAGAGGAGGAGGAAGGAAACGCTTGCTCCATCCCCCAAGCTGTCCTGGGAAGCACTATGCCAGCAGAGAGCCCCGGACACTTTCACAGGTTGTGAAACTCCTGAGCCTGTGCCCCCGGGGTCCTGCTCAGGGGATGGATGGCAACTTCCCTGCTCCTCAGAGACCTGGACGTGGAGCTTCTGTAGCACCCCCAGACTGAGTGAGCCTACAGGGAGCCTGTGTGCAGAGCCCAGCAACCTCCTGCCACCACGGGGATTAAAAACCAGTCCCCCACAGGGCCCAGGACGGGGGGGCAAACCTCCTCCTGGCCATCTCTGGAGTTCAAGACCAGCAACAAACCCTGCTTCAGCTCCACTGTTTTCTTTAACGCTCTTTCCAAGTGTAAACTTAATAGCAGGGATGCAGAATGACGCAGGTACCCAGCTGCCCTGGGTGTGCACGCCCCGTCTGCGCACCATGGGACCGAGCACCAAAAAGCGCAGCAGGCGGCTCTGCGGGCAGCGTTCCTGTGTAAACAGATTACTGAGCACCTGACCCGCAGGCAAGGACTTACAGTGCTAAAACTGGCAGGCTCCTACCATGAGTTAAAATGAGATAAGGGGAAAGTATTAACATGCCGTAGGCTAATTGCAGAGATTCCCATTCTAATCTAATCTGGAAATACGCTTCTAGTCTCTATTTCAGCTTAGCAACTTCTTCCCAGTTTCTGTAGCTTGCTGCTTTACAGCCGCATGCCCCCTTTATGCCTGTGCATGCCCATGTACGTTTTCCTCCAAGAGCTGAGACCGCAGTGTAGAGGCTGGTCCTTCCAGCCAAGTCTTGCCGTATAACTTCCACAAATAGAGAAAAGACAGCTGCTAAAACTGTCCTCCTTGTCCCACCACCAACACCCTCTGGGTTGGACCGAGGTGTCAACTCCTCATGGCGCCGGTGCTTTGGGCGCCTGTTGGTGACAGCGTCCGTGACGCTGGTGGGGATTTTGCCTCTCCGACAGAGGCATCTGTGGGAGCTTTGCCAAGGCACCAGCTTCAGTCACACAGTTCACTGCCAAATATCAGGCACCAAAGAGCTTCTGAACCCTTGTCTCCTTTTTCTGCCTTCTCACCAGATTCTCAGTACTGGATTTACGATGGCGAGAGACGGGTGTCTGGTCCCACCCCGATCGTGGAGCTGGGCCTCCCTGCATCCCCTGTGCAGGCAGCCCTGGTGTGGGGGGCTGAGAAGAACAAGATCTACATCTTCAGTGGAGGCAGCTACTGGCGCTTCAACCCTCACACCCGCTGGGTGGACAACATCTACCCCCGGACCATGGCCGACTGGCGCGGAGTCCCTCAGGAGATCGACGCGGCTTTTCAGGATGAGTTTGGTCAGTGCAGCAGAGACATGGCCAGCTCTGGGGAGGGCGCTCAGGCTGAAACCACTGCCTGGTGGGAAGAACTGGGCAGATTTGGGTATTTCAGGGAAGTGGATGCTTCCCAGCCGCAGCACATGCCATATAGCATATTGAGAGGGAGGCAGCTCCCTCCAGTAAGGAACTGAGGTTTCTCCCATAAAAGTGAGAAGTTTTGCCATTATTAATGGCAACAATCAACAGCTAAGCGTTTGACAGAGGGAATTCAAACTTCTGACTAAGAAATGGTCACAGAGTCCTACCCAGCCGTTACTGCCTACGGCAAAGAAAGTGATGAGAAGACAGCAGAAACACCGCCCATGCTCCAGCCTGTCCTGAATGACCAGGCTGATTTTGGTGTTGCCTCGTCCTCCCCGATGTGCCCCATGCTGAGGACAGCACAGCAGTGCCACAGAAACACTGAGGCCACCCAGGGTGCTTGGGATGACAGGTACAGCGACTGCCTCTCTCCTCCCAAGGGATGGGGTGGAACGGCACCCACCGCTGCCAGAGCCTAAATCCCAGAGCAGCTTCCCCGCAGCAGCAGATGCTCCGCAGCAGGGCTACACAAGCTCCCTCTCACAGGCCCTGTTCGGGTCCCAGACATCCTCTGCCCCCTTAGGGCCAGGCCCCTACCTGGGTACAGCATATTTAAAACCACCAGGAATATAACATAAAACCCTGCTTCCTCTTCCACCAAAACTGAAACAGCGTAAGCTGCAAACCTGGGTTTGAGTGAAATGAATCTGACAGCATCTCCTTCCAGGCTCTCCTTTAGTGCTGCCCGTGTTACAGAGCATCAACAAGACAAAATGCTAGTGGAGAGCTCTGGGCTGTGCCAGCCCTGTCTCTCCTAACCCCTCCTCTCTCACCCACAGGTTTTGCCTATTTCCTGAGAGGCCGAGATTACTGGAAGTTCGATCCAGTCCAGGTGAAAGTGCTGGAGGGCTACCCACGCCAGATCAGCCAGGACTTCTTCAGCTGTACGCCTTCCTCCAACTCCTTCAGATGAGGCGGGGTGCTCGCGTCCTCCACGCTCCCCTTCCATCACCCATGCCTCCAGCAGCCACGCAGAGGGTTCCCTCTGCCCTTCCCGGCTTCCTTCCAGGCTCAGCATCTGACGCAGCGTGTGTCTGGCACAACAAGTGACAAAGTTTGCTCCTCTCCAGTTCCAGCAGCCCCAGCTTCCGTTGCTATCCATATAAAAGCATCCGCCACGTTCTTTGCAGGCAAGAGCAGCCACTGAAACTCTTAACTGTGGCCACACTGTTCCAGTGGTAGCATCCCAAAAGCCATCAAGCCCGCCTGGAATGGGATCACACTCTAATTAACCCAGACCCCATCACGTAGAACTGATCTGACAGCGTTTCCTATGTTTACATAGCCCGCAGCAGCCCTTTGCTGCTCCAGACCTCGGCCTGGGAGGAGGAGGGCTTCCACCGAGACATCTCCCCACCTCAGCCGGGGGCTCGGGAGGACGCTGGCTGCCCACAGAGGAGCGGGGACACGCGGCTGCTGCCAGGGTCGCTTCACCGGGGCTTGCAGCCGTGACTGCCGGGACCCCGCCACGGCCTTAACTCCCGGTTTTACGTTGTTATCTCTCGTACGCGTTAGGATTTTATACTGGTTTTGTACAGACGAGGGGTCCCCCTTTCCTTCCGCGGTGCTGGGTGCCGGCGCTGGACGCTGCCCCCTCGCTCCCTGCGCGGTTGGGTTCCCCATCCCGGGCTGCTCACGACTGCACCGACCGGTCTCGTACCGCTGCTCCCCGCCCGCCCGGACACCGGGCCGGGGGCTGACACCCTACAGCC